CCGATCGACAATCGAGAACATAACATTCTCAATATTTGAAAGTGGAGACGGTGACTTGGCATGGTTCCTCTGCAATTGTCGCTCTCGCATGGTTTTTTGCTACTCACTCACTCACCTTTCCTCACCTTTTCATTGTACAGTATATATGCAGTTGGAGTTCAAGCTTCTTGTAAAGCAAGGATTGTTCGCGCAGCGGTCCTCTTCGCAACAACTACCCTCGCCGTCTGTTGCGTCTTAGAAACGAATGCCATGGGATAGACAACACGCAGGTGACATCTTTGATTCGGGGATATTTGTCGTTTCCAAACAACACCCTCTACGCGATGGAGCACCGCGAGATGCCATCCCCGGCCATCACATTGTGCCCCATGAAAGCTCTGAGCCTGGAAGCGAGGAACACGACGCACCTCTGGTTGAAGATGTCTCTTCAGAGTGACGAGCTCGAGGGGCAACAAGGGACGAGTACTTTGAATCGGTTCGCCTCGACATTGATGACTTCTTTTGAAGGGGGAAGTATGGGCATATATTTTCAATATCATCCCTCCGATGATATTGAAAAGAAATGCGAGTGACCAATATACACACTTAACAATGACAATAAATAATTTGATCATTTGACAAGCGTGAGTTCAAATACATCGTTGAAACATTATTGCTCAACACCGGATTAAGCTTGAAAAGTTATGCATATTTAAAAAATTGCACTCATGTTTCCATCAACTTCAGCAAAAAAATTTCTCTCTTGTTATTGTCACTAGTGACTTTTGCCACATATAACACAAGAGACGGCCTCGAGGAAAATCTAATTATACGGTTTCTTACCGTGAAGCAATTTGGAAAAAAATGTATATAGGGGGGGGGTTTATCATTAATTTCTCCTACGATGGCTATTACGGTGAGTTTCACGTTCCACTCACCTCACGTCGAATGTATCAGCTGTGTGTTTCTCTCTTCTCCTGGGATCATTGCATCAAGATCACTACATGTTATGGTCGTGAAGTTTTGAGAAGTGAGAAAATAATTTCGCGACATATGAGGTTATGGAATACCGAAAATGAAAACTTTGCACTTTACAAATTAAATTATTCCCATTGCCACTCCACAGCTCAGCGGCGAGTCGCCAGGCGAGAATGAAATTTTTTTGTGGCGGATTTACGCTGGAAATGGACTGACGGAAGCATGTCGACGAGTTTCCCGCAAATGTGCTTTCGTATAAGAAGAATTCGTGAAGACGAAGATGCATTCGCGGCGTTGGTATGAAATTCCGAGTGGTCTGCGTGATCTGGACTATCATCATTCGATTAAGTTTGGATTGGGTTTTCTTTAAATGTATCTTTTATAAATGGAAAGAATCAAGACGGGCGATTTGAGAATATTCAAGGGGGTTTAACCGCGTCCGTACTGAAGCAGAAAGAAAAAAGAAACGGGTGCATCTGTTTAAATGCATTAATGCATGCTCCTTGCAGTGAACTTTCCCGGCTGGGATAAAAACAGCCTCCAAATCATATTAATGCGTATGCCGATGAGTGCAAAAAGGAGAACAAGAGAGTTGAAGGAGCAGAAGGACGATGTTTGTAAGCGTAAAGCTCTTAAGCTGTTAATGTATTGGGTCATTCCATGCCAGATCGACCAGAGAGAGAACTCGACTGTCTCGGATTTTGACGAAAATCGCCATACAAGTAGAAGAATCCATTTAAAGAATATCACTTCTGCAATTTTTTTTTCGTTCCCACATATCTCCAGATATATGCGTTTTAATTTTACCTAATTTTCGATTCCAGCTCCCATACGGACTGGAATTGTGAAACTGTTTCTGCAATAACTTCCCCTCTAGTTAAGATATGAGCTTCATTTTTGGTGTCATTTTAATCGTGAGATTGCCCACTTTAAATTGATTCCAAGTATTATCCTCCTAAGCTGAAACAAGAAGTTCCACTCTATCAATCATTTTGATCAAGTTCAGCGGCCAATATCGACACTTGCCACCTCGGGAATTCTTTGTCTCAATATTTCACTTAAAAGCGCATGGTATGCCATTTCTGACGATACCAAGATCGAGATTGGCACTCAAGGGCTTCACGAGATATCAATTTTTACCTGTGACAGTAGTGCCAAAATTCCACTTGCTCGAACACGTTGACCGACTTGAATGACCTTCCAATGCACTTTCCATTCCGTGATTCCCGACTTATAATACGTCAATGAAAAGGGCGTGTTATTGCCTGTGTAACGGTACCAAATTCAAGGTTGGCACTCAAGGGGTTCATGAGGTCTAATAGTTTGATTGCATCGACAGTGCAATTATAGTTGCATCTGGGATTCACGGAAATGTAGCCTAATGTTATCAAGCTCTATTTTTTTAATGTTTGCTGGTTGCACAGATTTTCAATAAAAATTACTTGCATTCTATTATTATTATGTAATTACATAGATTTAAATAAGTGAGGTAATTGATTAATGACTTCAAAAATTATTATTTTGTAATTTTGTAAGCTAGGAAAACAATAAAATGCTAAAAAATTATAAACCAGCAAAAATTTCGCCCTTACAGCTTCGTAACTTGGGGTGATTTCCGTGATTCCCCTGTGAACCCCTTGAGTGCCAACCTTGAATTTGATACCGTTACAAAGGCAATAACACGCCCTTTTCATTGACGTATCATAAGTCGGGATTCACGGAGTCGAAAGTGCATTGGTAGGTCATTCAAGTCGATCAAAGTTTTCGAGCAAGTGGAATTTTGGCACTACTATCGCAGGTAAAAATTGATATCTCGTGAAGCCCTTGAGTGCCAATCTCGATCTTGGTATCGTCAGAAATGGCATACCATGCACTTTTAAGTGAAATATTCTAACAAGGAATTTCCGAGGTGGCAATTGTCGATATTGGCCGCTGAACTTGATCAAACTGATTGATAGAGTGGAACTTCTTGTTTCAGCTTAGGAGGATAATACTTGGAATCAATTTAAAGAGGGCAATATCACAATTAAAATGACACAAAAATGAAGCTTATATCTTGACTAGAGGGGAAGTTATTGCAGAAACAGTTTCACAATTCCAGTCCGTATGGGAGCTGTGATCGAAAATTAGGTCAAATTAAAACGCATATATCTGGAGATATGTGGGAACGAAAAAAAATTCGTCTGAAGTGATATTCTTTAAATCGACTCTTCTACTTGTATGGCGATTTTCGTCAAAATCCGAGACAGTCGAGCTCTCTCTCTGGTCGATCTGGCGTGGAATGACCCAATAATTTAACAGCTTAAGAGCTTTACGCTTACAAACATCGTCCTTCTGCTCCTTTAACTCTCTTGTTCTCCTTTTTGCACTCATCGGCATACACATTAATATGATTAAACGAAAAAGAATTGTAAGTCTCACGGCATAAGTTTGATCCGCCAGTGTGGAATCTTGGAATCCATGCCCATTTATGTCCAAAAGAAGACGTTAAGAACGAGATTGGGCTGGGAGAATGCACTCAGTGTTCCCAAATGCATTGTAACGCTGTTTTACCGTTACCATTATCATGAGCACCATTGACACGAACTCTGAATGCTGCCTTTAGAGATGAAGTTGAACCTGTCTGAAATTTTGAGTGGAAAACTGGGATTGTAAGAGCCATCTGGCGGCTCCTAGGACAAGTGATGTTTCAAAGACGGAAGGGAGATGTCGCCCGATTCACTGACAGGAACGTATCCACGCCCACATTCCGGATCGAATTTCATCACGCGCTGCAAGAGGGACCGAGAAGTTAAAGATATTTTAATTCGGGATTGCCTCCGAGATCTGTGGGAACCAGTCAGGTTTCGTGTTTGCTTCCGGGGTGGGAAGAAGGGAACTCTTTCCCTTTCTGCTTGGGAAGTTGTGGAGATGCCTGGGAAGGGGGTAGGGGCCTGGGACTCTCCTGCCTTTCTTCCTCTTTTAGGTGTCGCTTCAATTTTTTCTCTAGTCATTGCAACCTATTTCAAGCAAAGGGAAATTGAATTTTATTTTAAAAAAAGAAGAGTATTACTTGTATTGATTGATTGATATGGCTTCAAGTATGAAACTATTACTTTATCATGAGAAATTCACATTTTACTTAATACCCAAGTTTGAGCTTCTTACGCTAGGAGAACGCGGGGGATTCTCAGCGATTTAAATGGATGACGTCAGCACTAGTGACCAGGGTTACAAACATCCCGGAAAGGAGGAGGGGGGGGGGGGGTGTTGTTCCTAGCCGCGGGGTGCAGAGGGGGAGGATGATATGGGGAGGATGACACGGGGGGGGATGACACGGGGAGGACCTGGGAAATGGCTGGGGATGGCGACTGAGTCATTCGTCATTCCAGTCATTCGTTTTGCCCTCATAGTTGCGTGGACCGGAAGGCGGAGGCTGGGGTTTTTCGCTCGGTGGCGTCTTCGCGCGCGCTCATCGAGTTCGAAAAAGCTTCTTTTTCGACTGAGTGAATGAGGAGGGCCGTGAATGAATTAGTGTTTTACGATGACGCTTGCTAATTTTCTTAAAGGTGGATTTTCCATCTCGATTTTGCGATTTTTTTGCGTTCTCATTTGCACTGCCGGTAATCGTATGAGGTGTGACCTACGGTATGGCCCGTGACGTACCACGGCACTTCGGGTATGAGGTGTGACCTACCACGTGGGTTGGTGTCTTATACTACGCTGTTGCGACGACACTGCGTCATGACCTGACAGGCATATTGGGAGGTTCATTTGTGAAGGGGGGGAGGGGGTATTTGGTCTGACTGAGGTCCCCCCCCCCCCCCCCCCCCCCCTCCCCCCCCCCCCCCTCTCTCAAAATGCGTGACCAATGTCAGCGTCACTGGACGGGAAGCCCATGGGTGGGGTCACCTGCATATTGGGGTATGGGGGTGCGTTGCTATATCAGCAGCAGTAGTTCCCACGATGCGACGCTGGGATTTTTACTCGATCGGTAACGAGGAGAGCGATGTTAATTGGCTCCAAAAACAGGGCACTTTGCGACATGAAGTTAAGGGAAATGCATGGGTAGGTCACTCCTCATGCATTTCTCGTTGCGCCTAATCAATGAATTATCATTACTAAGCATTATTTTTTAAGTATTATTTCTTGAATCCGAAAATTTAAAATTAAAAGTTCAATCGTATACTCCTCTTGTAATTAAGTCTATGCACGATTATTTTTAGCTGTTGAATCTGGAATAAATTTTTGTTTCATGTAGAGAGCCTGTGGACCTCTGAACGATGAACATTTACCTTTTCCACTCGTTTTTGAGGCTGAAAGTTTCTGAAACATTTTTTGAAAGCGTTTCGGTTTTCGCCTGGCTACCCATGCCGACACTTGACCCTTTCGTGCACGATGTCCACTGCAGTGGACGGCAACATTTTTTGCCATGATGATGGGTTTTCAGTGCACACGCCGCGAAACTCGGGGGCATGTCATCTGTTCAGTGCTGATTTCTAGCGGTTCGACTACTACTACTTAAAGCAAGAAAGGCATATTTTTGTTTTGCTTTAAAAATTCATGCACGAAAGGGTTGAGTTAAAGTCTAAACTTGAGCTTCGCTCAAACCCAAAGAAGGGTCTGAGAAATTCCTCGCACGAAATTACTTTAGATTTTTGCTAGCAAATCGCGCATTGTTCGTCTCCGCTCCGGATTCCCAGGCGATGAAATCGGATTGTCTCGTCTAGTAGGTCAAGACGCTTGGTACTGAGAGGCTTCACCGTTGGACGAGGAAAATGAGAGTTACCGCTCCACTCGGCACCATGGTGCATACCAGGGATGCCAGATCTCTTCGTTCAGTCTCTCATTAATTTTTGGCTTTCCAGCGATATAAATCTCACACCTGATCATTATTCATTGTTCCAAATTCATTTCCGTGGTATGAACTGAATTGAGAGGCACCTGGATCCCGGCCAGGCCACGTCATTATAGGAGCAGCTGCTCCGTAACCTAGCACATTTGTTTGGTCTTTTTTTCCACATTCAGCAAAATGAATAATCGAAGTCCCCGTCAGCAGACGACGCAGCTCGGCTGACTCCGACCAATGACAGGCGGCCAAGTGCTATGACATTTCCTTTTCTCATTGGTGCTGGGGGATTGCGTGCAGCCTTCCGATTGGCAGTCGTCCTCGTGTCAGGCCGGTCCATGCCTATGTGCCGTGCAGACCGAAGCGGTGACTCGGCCGAACGGCTTCTCGCGTTTGGTTGTTTGGGCCTGGCTCCTACGTCTGCCCTCAGAAGTTCATTCCTTTGTTTCAAATTCCCAGGTTTTTAAATTTCAAAAGAGGAGGCGTATCTACTTTTTGAGAGGCCAGTTCTCTGACAGAATGGGCCCGAGTCGTGCATGGATGCTGAGCATTCTTCTCGCTCTGCTTTTTGGTAAGTTTCGACGTTACATTGGCCTCTATTGGGTTGTTTGCCTAGAATAGGCTTGTAAGGGTAGGTTTTTCATCACTTAACGCTTGTCTTGAAGAAGTTGAAATTGGATCAAGCTGAACTTGACCGTAGGCCTAGTGTTTATCAAGTCAATATCGGCCATCTTTTTCTCATCCAACAGCCTGTGGAGCGTTTGCAAGTTCAGAGGATGTGACTGGAGGTGTAAAACTTGATGAGGATATCGGAAAGAGCCGAGATGCATTGAGAACGGATGATGAAGTGGTGCAGAGGGAGGAAGAAGCAATAAAATTGGATGGTCTCAATGTGGCACAAATCAAGGAGATAAGAGATAAGGCGGAGAAGTTCATGTTCCAGGCAGAAGTCAGCCGAATGATGAAGCTTATCATCAATTCCCTGTACCGCAACAAAGAGGTGAGGCTAGGTTCAAGATTCAAGGCTAATTTAAAGTTTGTGTAGGACAGCTTAGTGTGGAGAAAGTGTATTATTGGTCAATACTCATTCCTCCAAGGTTTTTTTGGTTACCATCATAATCATTTAGGATCCGATAATGCTTAATTCATGTTGGTGTAGTTCTCTCTGAAAAACATGCTTTTGAGAAGTCAGAAGCAAGGCACAGCTATAAAATGTTCATTAATCAGCTTGACAGGTGCTGTCAGGCTGAGCATTTTTAGGGGAAGCTATGTTGGCTGGTATGTTTTGGAATGTTCAGCTTTGCTGCCTTGCAAAGTCATAAAGCACATTTTTCAAAATGGAGCCAAAATTTAATTATTGCCATTCAATTAACAAATTGGCTGGTGCCAAATTTCAGAAAAGGAAGATGTAACTGACTCTCTTCCTCAGTGGTTTCTGAAATTGCCTCTATTGTGGTCTCAGCATGCTTCTCTGGTGTCATTGATCAAATCCTTTTTTATCTGAGAGAGTGAATTTTTGAGAAAGTAACTATGAAAGTATTCCTATAAAGCACTCATTTTTAGTAGGCAGAGGTGTAACTTTGACCTCGTCAGTTTTTTTTTTTTTTCATTCTTTATAGTGAATGTAGTATGAAAATATTCTCTACCTAATCTAAGGCTGGAGGATGGCAAAAACTGAAACAGAAATCATTTCCACAGTTCATAAAAATTGCTGCCCAGATTCCTCTTATATCACCCAGTTGTGTTAAAAAGTACTTCTAAGGATGAATGTCTTGCAATCCTTTTTCAATCTTTGGTCTAATGTGCTTTAGATTTGGGGAAGCTATTTAAAATTACTTTTTCCCTTATCTTCCTTCTTTGAGATGTCTTCCCCTACAGCAAAGACTTTCTGCTTCTATTTTGACAGGTTGCATTTTTTAGGATGCAGATACCTATTTAATTCTACATTGAGCTGATATTGACCTAGGCCTATCATATAGGTGCAGGCTTGTAAGAAATCCATGTTACAAGTTGACACGGTGATGGTGTAAATTTGTATAGAATGAAACTTTGCTATTATGAACTTTTTCTTGCAGCTATGTTTGCATTGCATGATTATAAAAATCAATGGAGCTTTTCTTATTTTTTTTCAGATCTTCTTGCGAGAACTTATTTCAAATGCTTCTGATGCTCTTGATAAGATTCGGCTGATATCACTCACAGACCGATCAGCATTGGATGCCACAGAGGAGTTATCTATACGAATCAAAGTGAGGATCCCTTTATTAAATGCCTGTTTGAGGGATGCTTCTCCGATAATCATTGTTCATTTCAAATACTTCCTTATAGGCAGACAAGGAGAACCACATCTTGCACATCACAGACACAGGAATCGGAATGACGAAAAACGAGCTGGTTTCAAATCTTGGAACGATAGCTAAATCTGGGACAGCTGAATTTCTCAACAAACTTGCTGAGTCAACAGACAGTCAGGAGGAGAACAAGCTAGACATGGGTGATCTCATTGGACAGTTTGGAGTTGGATTCTATTCATCCTTCTTGGGTTAGTGGTCCCATTGAAGTCTCTTGAGCCTGAGTTCATTCGAGTGAAGCTTAATTTTTTCTATTTCTCTCTGGCAGTTGCCGATCGTGTGGTGGTGACCTCCAAGCACAACGATGACAAGCAGCACATCTGGGAATCGGATGCTGCCAACTTCAACATCATGGAGGACCCCAGAGGACCAACTCTGAAACGAGGAACCACAGTCAGGTACCGATATCAGAAAACTTTTAAGTTTCTTGTCTAATTTTCCTGTAGTGATGAATTTTTGTTTCATGATATGCCCTGCTGTTTGTCCTGCAGCCTGTATTTGAAGGAAGAAGCCCTTGACTTCCTGGAAGAGGACACCATCAGAGACCTCATCAAGAAGTATTCTCAGTTCATCAACTTCCCTATCTACCTCTGGTGCAGCAAGGTGAGTGTCTCCTTCTTAACTCTTTTTGGATTGATACTTCTTTGCTAAAGGGGCAAATATGGTGGTTTTGGTATCATAGACTGTGAAGGTGGAGGAGGCTGAAGAAGAGGCAGAAAAGGAGGAGGACGAACTGGTCGATGAAGGAGAGGTGACTGAGGAGAAGACTGAGACAAAGGGACCCAAGGAGAAGACTGTCTGGGACTGGGAGAAGATGAACACCAGCAAACCCATCTGGATGAGAAAGTAAGATGGCAGAAATTCAGAAGCAGAGCAGTTGAATGTCAACTGCATCTTTGGTGGCTGGGTAAAGGAAAGTTTTTTTTTAACACCAATCCCTTAATGCAGTCATTTAGTGTTGTAAGCAGGTCACTAGGGAACTTGAATTTGAGGATTTTCTTCATTTTAGATTGGATTGGAAGTGACAGCACCAAAGGAATCTCTTGGCATTTTAATCTATTCCCAACATTTATGAAACTGGCATATTTTCATAGAAGCAAGTGGCTCCTAGGGCTTGTCCCTCTCCTCACAATAACAGAAGGAACAAGCATTTCTACCAAATAATTATTCCCAATGCTCTTGTCTTTCTATCTGATAAGAATGGACATGTTTTTATAAATTGACACAAATTACTATTTCTGAATGATTTCTTAACCTTTCCTTTCATTTGTGATCCTGTTCAGGTCGCATGAGATTGAGGAGGAGGAATACAATGACTTCTACAAGACACTGACCAAGGGTCACGACAATCCAATGACACGAATCCATTTCACTGCCGAGGGGGAGGTCACCTTCCGGTCACTCCTCTACATCCCCAAGGAGCTTGAAAATGAGATCCTCTCTAACTATGGGAAGAAGCACAACATCAAGCTGTACGTCCGACGAGTGTTCATCACGGATGACTTCACGGACATGATGCCAAACTACTTGAGCTTCATCCGGGGCATCATCGACTCTGACGACCTCCCACTCAATGTTTCCCGAGAGACACTCCAACAGCATAAGCTTCTCAAAGTCATCAAGAAGAAGTTGGTGCGGAAGGTCTTGGACATGATCAAGAAGATCCCAGATGACAAGTATCCTGATTTCTGGAAGGAGTTCTCAACCAAGTATGAGCTGTGGCCTCATCTCTTCTTTGTCCTGGCCTTGACTTGGTGTTTATATAAATTTCTCCTCATTTCTCTTTGGCAGCGTGAAGCTGGGCGTGGTGGAGGATCCATCAAACAGGACACGTCTGGCCAAGCTGTTACGCTTCCGTTCGTCTCATGGTGAAGGCTGGTCATCTCTGCAAGACTATGTTGAACGATCCAAGCAGGGACAACGCTTCATCTATTATATTGGTGGTGGCTCCAAGGAAGAGGTGAGTTTGGGAGCTCCATTGCTGATTGTACAGTATTCCTAAGAGGATGGAACCCTGTGCTTTCAACATTCCCAATCCCTCATCCAGCCACTTATATTCCACTTCCTTTGCTCCTTGGCTAGGTTGATGTTAATTCCCTTCTGCATATCAATTTACTTTATATGTTTGAAGGTTAATTGGACAACCTTCAGTGAACCATGTCTGTTCCACAAAGTATGATGCAGTGAAACAAAAGTTGTCCATATCAGTCTCATCACAAAGTCGCTGTCTCGACCTATAGATATGCCAACAGAGTTGACTTCCAAGAGTAGGGTCAGTAGGTGGGTCTTGGAACCATGTTATACAATGAACAGGGTCCAGAGTTCATGTAGAGATGCCTGGGTATTGCCAGCTGGAAACCTGTGTGAACAAAAAATATCTGTCAGTAGTCTCATAAAACTGTGGCTGTCAGGATGGCAATTATGAATGCATCTTTGCACACACCAGAACCATTGACGCTCTGACAAAATATACAGTGTTTATCGTTGGAAGTAGTGAGGAATGCGGAGATGGATGAATAAGAATCCATCCTTAAAGGCATGGCTGTGTAACAGTCTAGTGTGGTGAACATGGCCTTCAGATTTCTGTAAAAGCTTAGCTCCTTTTGTTTCCCCCACTTTTATTGCATGTGACACCATCAGACCAAAGTCAGGTCTTTCCTGAGATATGGTGAACTTAAGCAGTTTCATCTCGGAGGATTTTAGTGGTCTTCATATTGTGCTCACAGACTTTTCTTCTCTCAGGTTGAGGCATCTCCATTTGTGGAACTCCTGCTGAAGAAGGGCTATGAGGTCCTCTACCTCCTGGACCCAATTGATGAATACTGCATCCAGTCTCTGCCTGAATTTGAAGGTCGAAAGTTCCAGAATGTGGCACGTGAGGGACTGGAACTCCCAACTTCTGACGAGGCCAAAAAGAGCTTTGAAAATCTCAAGGAACGATTTCAGACTCTCACCAAATGGCTTGGAGAGAATGCACTCAAGGACCAGGTAAGCAGATCCTTTGATCTCCCTGACCTGTATCCCCCATCTTTTAACCCCTGGAAGCTCATCAAATGAGCAGGCATGTCACTCCACTTGGTATGATCCCCATCCTGTCATTGCTTCCCAGAATGGGATGATGAGCCAAGGTGGAGAAATTCATTTGCACCCTTGCTTTCACCTTGTACTCAGACCATATCACAAAGGAATGAGAGTGTGTCTTTTTTTAATGGTCCCACAGATTGCAAAAGCTGAGTTGAGCCAGCGCCTGGCCAAATCCCCTTGTACACTTGTTGCTTCTGTGTTTGGCTGGACAGGGAACATGCAGCGCATCATGTCTGCTCAGACTCACACCAAGCATATGGATCCCCATTCTGAGTATGTCCTGTCCTCCAACTTGAGATATGCTTAGGAAAGGATAGAAGAATCTTGTATTAAGTTTGGGCAGAGCCAATATGGTCTGTGTATGCTGTCATGTCAGACATCCTGAACTTTTATCCTCTGTAGACCTGTCTTCCTATCATCATGGAGTAATAGGCTTTAGCTATTTATGAACTAATTAAGTTATTCCTGAACTGGTGTTTCCACTACTAGTTGACTGGTTTCAGAGTAAACCAGTTACACCTGAGTAATTTAATTGCAGCAGAGCAGTTAAACTTTTTTCTTAATTTTTTCAATGAACAATCGAATCTATTTCTTTTAAAATGATTTTCAGTGAGATTCATAGATTGATGGGCATGAGCTTTATTATTATCAAAGAACATCACAAGTGATGTCAGATTGGTGTTCTTGTGATGCTTTAAAGTTTCTTTGAAACAATTCTGCCAATGATAGATGAAAGAATGCTGTTAGTAATATGGAAGGTGACTTGTTAAAGTTTGTTGGAACTGGCAAAATGGTGTTTGAGAATAGGTGTTCTGGAATCTGCTTGACTACTTGTTTCTTTTTTCCCCAATAATTTTTTTAAATAAACATTTTTTCAGTTATTGAGTTCATTGGTGATGTACTATTTTACATCTTGGTACCTTTTAGGTACTACATGAAGCAGAAGAAGACCATGGAGATCAACCCCCGTCATCCGATCATTCAGGAACTGCTGAGACGAGTCGAGGAGGATCCTGCGGATCCTGTTGCTCACCAGGCTGCTCTCACTTTGTATCGAACTGGTAAGCTCTTGCCTTTGCTCTCCTTTGGTTAACCTTGGTTCTGTTGATGTGTGGGGATGCAACAAGTGGTTTTCTACCTTTTCCAGCTGTGTTGCGATCTGGTTACCAGTTGACAGATGCCACCGAGTTTGCTGAGGCAGTCGAGGGTATGATGCGGCAATCGCTTGGGGTTCCACTTGATGCCGAGGTCAGAAGCTGAACCCTGTTATTGTTCCCACCAACTTGAAGGCTCTAAGAATTGTACTCTTTGTATCATTCCAAATCATGGCATTTGCTTTGAACTGCCATGAGTTCCTCAAGAAATATGCATTTGGTGCTGCATATTTGAATGACAAAGCCTAAAAGAAACCTTGATGCTCATTATTAGTTTCATGCAAAAGTAATTGGATTCACTAACAACCTCCTCAGGAGGTGGTTAACTGTTATGCCACTCTTGGAAAGAAATTCAGGTGCATATGGAACAATTACAAGAGTTACTTTTTTACCTATAACTTGAGAAGGGCATTGAAAAATTTATTGCTCTCTGAGTTACCCTCATATCTTAAACTCAAAATGAATGTTATGACTGAAAGAATGTGATTTACCAGTCTACACCTGGGCTCATTTGCACATCAGGGCATGGAGATGAGAGGTTCAAAAGACCATAAATTTTCATTTAAATGAATGGATATGAGATGTTTTTAAACAAGTTGTGCAGCAATTTACAGTAAAAAAAATTCCCCTTGATTGATGCATTTGATACATAATTTCCAAAATTTAATTTTAGTTTTTAGACCTTAATTTTGCCTTGCTGCATTTTTCCAAATCAACTTTGACTATGTTGCATCCAACCCTTGAATCCTAAGTATCAGGTGCTGAGATTTAGTGAAATGTTGTGTCAAAGCTTGCTTAAAATTAGAGGCTTATTGCATTTATATTGATTCCCTCCATTCAGGTGGAAGAAGATGATACCATCGACGAGCCGGCAGCAGAGCAGGATGTCCCTGTTGAGCCGATGGAGCACGCTGACGAAGACGAACACGACGAGCTGTGATCGGTCGTGACCTCGTCCCCAGCACCGTTCGCTACAACTCAATCGTGTGATATGCACCCAGGTCACAATAATGTTTAGGGATTGATGCGGGAAGTTTTCCATACATTTCCACCTCGATTGGTCTCAGATTTTTTTCCTGTGTGCGAGATCGTTGTCTCTTCTATTCCTCCCCCCCAAAGAGATGTGATATGGAGGCATTGCGAATCTTCCCCTCTTGGCTCTCCTCCCAGTGAGTGTTTCCATTCTTCCTGCGTTTCTTCCCTTCGAGTGGAATTTTGTCCCGGTACAATACAAACATGTTACTGCTGAAACCAAATGTGGTTTATTTCATGGATGTGTTCCAGAGTAATGTTATAAGAGCCTTGGCAGACATGGTGTAATCAATGATTCTGTCTCCATCCTTGATCAACTCCTGTCCAGAATGCAGTTAGAAGCAGATTATAGTTGAATTTCATTTCACTCAACTGATTTGCCTACATGCAAATGTGAGATCCTAGGAATGGTAGATTTGTCCATAAAGAGGAGAAATAAAAGCTGCCATTTTTATTAATCATAAACTTTGAAGTCAGGCAGGAGTGCAATGATCAGGTGAGGTCAAATGACAAAATGAGGCCACAGTGAGGAGGGAGACTTGATGGGAACATTGCCAATCATGCTTGGGAGCAAAAGGGACTCAGAACCAAATGGAGTGCAAGATTGTCAGCTGCCAAAAATTCTTTTGGGGATTTCTCCTATCCTGAGTGAGACTATTGAGGAGAATGACATCCCACCCTCTGGCTGCAGAAGTGCTACCACCTTCTGGAAAGAGTGGAAATATTGTCTTGTACAATACAAACATGTTAGTAAAAACCAAACTGGGTGCATTCCAGAGCATGGTAGAGGAGAAACACAACAGAGGAAGGGAACTAAAAGCAGCTAGACAAGTAGTATTAATGCCAACAATCATGCAATTGGCAAGTGTGGTTATTAGTTTTATTATTTTTTATTTAAGAATGGCTGGTACAAGCAAAGCATAAGGGATGCTACTTTCTGCTGCATTCAAGAAATATTAGCTGCAGACACAGTGGACATGGGACGTTTCAAATTTAAAATAAGATGAAAAATATGCATCCCTCACCCTACATCAATATAGTTGTCTGGCCACATTCCATGCCATGAGAAAAAGACAGGAAATACACCTTCATATGCAGAGGTAGGATCAGTAGGATGGGTTTCATGATTCCTGATGGTATGAAAATGCTTGAAATGTTCATGTATCCAGAACATTCCCTTCCCAACATGAATGCCAACTCCTCTTGCTCGGCCAAGTCTCATACCATTGTGTGTCCAATCGCAGCAAGAACAGGATGAGACACCACATAGTTTCTCTTTTTTAAATCTTTTAAACAAATAGACTCTGCCTCAGAGAACCCCATGAATCTAAATATAATTGGCTGAAGTATTGAAGGGTGGGGACACCTTAAAACTTTGATGAGATGGGTATCAATTCTGAAGCTGTACAGGCAGTCCTCGACACAATTGGTTCCTGAAAGTTATATTAGAAGTTGAAACACAGTTAAATGCAAAAAAAAAACAAGTTTTCCTCAACCAAAATGGTGTGGTGACTGAGTCTGGGTGAATCCTGATGCACTATGTTACAGGTACAGTACATAATGCATTGCAGAAACTGTGCATGCATTGCGTTTGTGCATACCTTGTGTCAAGTCAAGGAGTGCCTGAATTCATTTCATGAATTCCATGTACACATCTGACTTCTCCTGTCCATTCTACAAATTTTTCTTAACATTCATTTGCACGTTGTAATCATTTTCCAGTCATTCTTGACTGGCCTGATGGCCATTTTCCTGTGCATTGAGAACAAGCTGGTCTTGAAGAAAGTCAATTCACTATTGAGGCTTTCATATCTTGGTTCCTTAGATTTGAGAAAAGTCAACCAAGCATCTGTGCACAATAAAGTAACTCATATCTTTCACCTTCAACATGGTTTTTTCATGAATGATGAATTGCAGCTTTGTTCATGTGGGACCATTTAAAATTTCCTGATACCATTTATCTAATAACAGACCCAGTTGGGAAGCATAAAATTAGAAAATGTTTCCACATTCAAATGGCCAGAATCATTGGCAGTGAAAATTGATATCATGTATATTCACAAAATTTTGAAAAATGGGTTGAAGGTAAGGATGGTCACCTTAGCAGAGGTGAAGTCAGTGTTTGTGATGTGATCCAAGTCAGCAACAATGAGGACACCAAGATGCTGGTTGGCATTCTTGGAGATTGTAGTCCACACCTCTTCTGTTGCTGGGAAGGTTAAATCCCCTCATGGTCTCACCAGCATGTCCTCATGGTCCCCCATCTGTCACATCACCACCTCCCTTCATCTCATATAATTCATTTTGAAGAAGTATACAGTGACATCAAGCAGATTTATACTGATTTGATGCATCAATATTCAGAGCCATCTTTGTAAAAGAAATTGTAAATTTCTTTTACAAAGTCAACAAGTTCTTTTGTAAGTCAACAAGGCAGTACATATGGCCTGCAGAGAGAGATGTCAATGTTAACCTGAAATTTTCAATTGAGTTTCAAATTTCTTGAATATTTCCTGTGAACAACTAAATCATTGGATGCTGTTCTCAAGTTCAAAACAGTCACACAAGTGGAACTGAATGTTGGAGGAATAGAAGTTTGGAAAGGGGTTTGTACCTACCTTATGATTCTGCACTGAGATATATGACTTGGCAACCTCTAGAATGGTGGTTCTTAATTTGTGGTCTGTGTACCACTGAGCACACATTCCTTCTATGGGAGTAAAAGGGAGTTTGAGAACCACTGATCTAGAAGGATAATGATATTCAGTCCCACTTTAAACAATATCCCATACTCAAGTCCTAGGATGTTAAAAAAAAATCACCACTAACTCTAAGGACAACAACAAACAAACCCAAGTACAATGTCCCGCAAAGAGGAATGTTTGATGTTCATGAAAATTTGTTCCATTAAAAAAAAAGCATTGGCCATCACATTTTCCCAAACCCAGGATTCCCTTGAGTTAGCTCAAAGCAATGATTGCAGCTGGTGCCAACATGAAACCTGAGGTCACTGGCAGAGATATGAAGTTGATGAGAAAACCTGCCAAAGAAGAGAAGCTGTTACTCAACCTTCTTGCAAGAACGTAGAGGTTCATCTTTGCCTCTGGATTAAAAATATGAGCACAAAGAAAACTAAAATGAAGAGACCAACCAAAAAGGAGTTCAATGGCACCAGAGCAAGATGGCATAGTCGGGACCAAGATCAAAGGTTTTGTACACCATTTTAACAAAGGTAGGTAGGTAGGTTTGATGAAAGAACTAAATGGTAAGAGATCTCTTCAAGGAATTTGTGGTAAAGCATTAAACCTCTTTCCACATTGAATAGTTTTACACATACAGACAAATTTGCACTGAGGGTGCCACATGAAGGAGCATTTTGGTTAAAATTTTTCACTCATAACATTTGTGAGATTTGATACCATTTTCTTTCTCAATGGAATGAACCCTTGAGGCAAATTTTAAGAAAAGCAACAAGATGCTTCCTATAATTCCTTTTAGATTTCATATGGAATGACTCAAAGATCACATTCCATGCCAATACCCTACTGGCCATGGCCATTCTTCTCCAGGAAGGAATGAGGATTGATTGAATCCTATAATTTCCTAGATTAATATTATTTTAAATAAACCCAGCCAACCTAAAGTTCCAAGTTGGCCACAACAGCATAAACAAATGGCCAGTGGGATGAGAGTGAGTCTGAGCGTGAACTTGGCAATGACATCATACACCAACTTCTTGGTATTGTATTGGGGTAGCCATTTGATGATGAGACGTTTATTCTGCACAGTCTTGTCAGTGCACACCCTCCTCAGACAGGCTACAACCCATTCCTGGGGTCCCAGGGGTTCCACATTAAAGGATTTTAACAGGATCCCTGCCTCCCCTTCATCTCCCTCTAGTCCTGTGCAAAATCCAAGCAAATCCCTCAAAGTGAAGACAGTAGAACTTCATTTCTGCCTAATGTTTAGTCATTGAATGAATGGTGTTCCTTTGGGGAGTCACCTTGATAGAGAAAGGCCACAAATAGTCCCATCTTGCCTGTACTCATATCTCCCCTTTGTATTGACAAAAAAAAATTAAATTAAAATATTTCCTAGATCACTTTGAAAGCTGATAGTGCTTTTCCCATGGTGAGCAAATATAAAAATATAAATTTGTAAGACTATAAAATCTGTTTTAGACGTCATTTTGCCCAAACAGAACTTATCCTGTATGTTGCACATACCTATCTATCTGATTGGAAAGAAAGTTCTCGGAATTTCTTGAATATCCAGTACAATTTTTTTCCAGAGCATGCTAGAATGTTCTGCGTGTGTTTATAAGTAGGCCGTGTCCTTCGGCATACAACCGTATATTATTACAGCCCTGGTGCTCTCCAGCCATGAACCAGCCCTACCCTCTTACTAAGGAGCAAGTTCGCCTGCTTCTTCTTTATGACTTCCGAATCNATGCCGAAGGACACGGCCTACTTATAAACACACGCAGAACATTCTAGCATGCTCTGGAAAAAAATTGTACTGGATATTCAAGAAATTCCGAGAACTTTCTTTCCAATCAGATAGATAGGTATGTGCAACATACAGGATAAGTTCTGTTTGGGCAAAATGACATCTAAAACAGATTTTATAGTCTTACAAATTTATATTTTTATATTTGCTCACCATGGGAAAAGCACTATCAGCATTCAAAGATTTACACCCATTGAGTATATACCATCTCTCAGCTTAAGTCAGGTGGTCATGGCATTCAGCAAAGCTGCCACTTTCCTTTCAAACTGCGGCTAACCGTGATTCATTGTTGGTGAAAAGAGAGAGAGAGAGAGAGGGGGGGGGGGGAGTGTTTCCTAGCCAAATTCTTTTCTTGCCAGATCTTCAGCTTCAGCCTATCTAGTGTTTTTTCACTTGAATGTGACACTTTTTCACTTGACTTCAACACTGTCTACCTCAAGTGGAAAACACTATACAGTAGATCTAAGTTTGATAACAGCAACACCACACTGTCGCTCAATTGACTGCAAAATGTACGAGTTCCTACAGACCGCAGCTGTGACGGTGGCACGGGCGCAAACAAAATTCCGTGACAGTCACCATAGCTGACTATTGGCCCTGTGGAATGCATATACAGTCGACTCCGCTTAATGGAATAGTCACGGGACCAGCAAACTTTATTCTATTATCCGGAGTATTCCAATAACCGAAACCACCTGCTTCTTCACACTATCAC